TCTAGGTTGATGCCTCCACATCTTTCTCCATCTTCCTCCATCCCTGCCCGCCTTCCCACTCATTGGGGTCCATAGCCCAAGCCAACTGGGTAGCCAGCTGCCCACATCCGTGTCCGGGAACAGGAATGGGGAGGTGGTTCCACCTCTCCCCTATCTGAGAGGCACTTGCTAAGGACAAGAACTAGGTTTTCAAGTCTCCCCCTACTCCTTATATGCTAGGTTGCAGGCTGAGCCAGACTCTGAGGCAAGAAGCTGGAGGAGGATCCTGCCAAACCAAAGGGGACACAGTGGGTGCTGACCGTAGTGAAGGCTAGTAGGCCATCTGGGTCTGCCTAGAAGAGGGTCTTGGGGCTCTGGTTATTTTAAAAGAAGGGGTGTGGGGGAGAGTGAGAACTGAGAACGCCCCCAGTATGTGGGAACATGAGTTCCTACCTTCCCAAGTCAGTATTAAAGATTCTCTGGCAACCAGGAAAGCTACAGCTCACTGGGAGATGAAGAGAAGGGCCATAGCATTGTGGGAAGGAAGGCCACTGGAGCAGCAGTCAAAGCCTCCTAATGACTCATCTTCCATCGCTGTTGGACTGGAGGATCCTGGCAGGTAGGGAGTGTCTTTATTTGGCTGTGAAAGCTCAGGACAGAGCCTGACATCCAGCAGGCACTCTGGAAATGTTAGTTGAATAAATGAATGACTGTTGTCACCTTGCCACAGTCCACCTTGTACCTCAGTTCATTATGTTGGCTTGTTTCCTCACCTAAAATGTTAGTCACTAGAGAGCAGAACCTGCTGTGTCTCTCAGCACATGGCCTGCCAGGTTTGTTTCACAAATGAATGAATGAATGAATGAATGAATGAATGAAGGTATGTATATGTGCCTCCCCCTCTCTGGCCTGGGGTAGTTCCATCCAGGGGAGCTCACACCAGCAATGATTCCACAAGTTCCTTTAGAGAAACCAGAGGCCTCTTTCAGGCAACCCAATCCCCTGCCCCCTTTCTTCTGCCCTCTATGTATCACCTCTGAGAGGCAGGGAGGTATTTGAGAAAAAACACGGACTTTGGAGTCAGAAACTCGGGGTGAGCCTGGTTAGTTACTCCCTAGCTATGTTGACCGAGGGCAATTCACTTAGCTTCTTTGACCTTTGTCTTCTTCATCTGCAAAATGGGGATAACAATGATACATTAGGCAGAGAGCTATTCAGACGAAGTGAACATAATGTACAAATGTTCGTTGTTATTTTCAATATGAGGGTAGGAGGGGTTGCTCAGCAGAAGAACAACATTTTAACAAATGCAGATAAAAATTATTTTTCAGCTGGGCTGGGAGCAGGAGCGTGAAAATGAACTTTCTTTACCTGTGATATTCCACAGATAGCCTGAATCCACACACCTCAGTTTCCCTTCCCTTTTTCTTTCTTTTTCTTTTATTTTATTGATTTTTTACAGAGAGGAAGGGAGCGGGAGAGTTAGAAACATCGATGAGAGAGAAACATCGGTCAGCTGCCTCCTGCCTCCTGCACACTCCCTACTGGGGATGTGCCCGCAACCAAGGTACATGCCCTTGACCGGAATCAAACCTGGTAGCCTTGAGTCCACAGGCTGACGCTCTATCAACTGAGCCAAACCTCTTTTGGGCCCTCCCCCTTTTCTTTCAGTTAAGTTCTAATACCCAGAGGGCAAAGTCATGCAAAGAAGACACAGCCCCAAACACCACATTGTGGCTGGCTCCCCTCCCTCTCACCTATTTATGTTACTCTTTGAGGAATGGAGGGGGTGGGTTTAGGGGCATGGACCAGAGAAATTCTTAATGACACATTGGAACAAAGGTCCCTGCCCTGGGAGCCAGGATCTTGGTTTCAAGGCTGACTTCTGCCTCCTGGAGAGAATGGTCTTTCCATTCTCCTCCCTTCTTCCCTCTCCTCCCTGGTATGGTCTCTGCAGGACTCCAGGTGAGAGGTTCCTCACTGGACCTTAGCTCTCTGGCACCAAGGTTGTAAGGCTCTAAGTGTTCTCCTAGACTAGTCTTTGGACTGGAGTTGGACTGGAGCCAGCCTTGATGACGAAGGCAAGAGGCAGTGACACTGGGGTAGAGAGGCCTGCTGTCTCTTGGCTTCAGACCTTCACTTCCCAGACTCAGCCCATTGTTTGGGCTGCACCCTCCCCATTGTCTGCCTAGACTACATCCTCAGATACCAGAGCTACTTCCCTATCAGTCAGGGTTGGGCTCATCTGCATTCTGGGAAGGTTTGATCTTTGATCTTTATCCCTCCTTGGCCAGTCCCACAGCAAAGCCCCTGGAGCCTATTTGACCACAGGTGCTAGCTCCCCCTCCTGCCCTCCTGATGGGGACACAAAGCCTGACACTTGAAGAAACACTCAAGTTGTGGTCCCCCAGAATACCTCCAAATCAGCACGTCTGATTCTTAAGAAGCTGGGAGGAAGTGTTGTTACCCTTCCTCAGAAATTCAAAACAATGACTAGTTAAAGTGTGGGATTCAGAGTGAGGAGTCCAGGTTGAGTCACCGTGGGCCTCTTTTCTCATCTGTGAAACAAGGATCGTGCAGGAGCAGGGCCAGTGAAAGGGTGATGCGCAGGTACAAAGACCCATAGAGTACAAGAACCATGATGGTGGAGCGGAACCTCCTCCAAACACCTTGGCCACTTATTAAACAAGGATTTGAGTACTAAATGCTCTATAGGCATCATTTAATACTAAGGACAATCCTATAAAAGCAGGAAGTTGAAGCATAGAGAACTTCTGTAAATTGCCTATGTAATAGCCAGTAGAATGGCAGGGGTGGGACTATGGGATTACAGCCAGTTCCAGTTTATCTCCCTTCCTCAGGGAGTTAACACCCAGCTCCTGTGAGAGGAGGGGAGCAGAAGCCACAACAAGAAGGGTCGGGGTGCTGGTGGGGGGGAGGGGGGATTGAAGTCTGAGACAGCAGGCCTTCTCCTGTCTTCATATTCCAAACCTGCATCCTCTATCCCAACAATCAAACCTCCTTTGTATATCTGTCACCCATCCATCCAACAAACTGTTATCAAACATCCTTGGCTCCAGGCAATGTGCTGGGTACTGGAGAAAGATGAGCTGACCCTGTGCCAGCCTTTCAGCCACCCTGTGACCAAGCTGGACCAGTAGAGCATTAACAACAGCATGGAAGGGCGATGGTGCAGAGGTCAACATGGTCTGTGGCACCACACAGAAGAGTGCCCAGGAAAGGCCCCCGGAGGCGATGACCTGAGTGAGATTCTGAAGGATAAGATGCAATGGGCTGTGGGAAGTGGAGGAAAAAGGGTGGTCCAGGCAGTGAGAGAGACCAGATCAGCAGCAGTTCAGCAGGGTCAAGAGGATTTATGGCAGATCATTGAGGCACCGGTACTGGGGCTTGAACCCTGTTCATATCAGTTAATGTCTCTGTGACTCATTGTTCTCCTCATGAGGATTAAATGAGTTAATGAGACGCCCTTAATTGTGCCTGGCACGTGGCAAATGCTCTCTGTTCACTGGATGTTGGGGTTGCAATCACTTTGGCAATGTGTGGGGTGGGAGCGTATGCGCATGTACCTGTGTGTGGTTAAGGGGCCAGATTATGAAGGGCCTTCTAAACTACACTAAGGACTGTAACTAGGGAGCCACTTAAAGCTGTATTCCCTGCTCACTTATCTTGACAGGCTCTGAGACACCCTTTCCTATCACACTCTGTCCCCATAGTGTTCGCACCCTCAGACCCCATCTGTTCCCTCACCACTTCTTCCCTTCTGGTCACCCTCACTCCTAGGCTCTGAATATGAATCATCATCATCCAGTTCTATGCAATGAGCGGTCAACAGAGGGTGGCAGAACCAGATACCTGGGATCTGATCTCAAAACTAGATGCAATTTCGCTTCTAACGGAAGTCTCCTTTCGCTTTCAGTAGCATGAGAAAGGGAAAGAAGCAGGAAGCTGTCCTAGCAGGAGGGTCTCCATCCAAGCCCATTCTGAGCTGGACTTGGTCTGCTTCAGAGAATCAACCAGTCAGCCTGGTCACTTCACTTTTCCCCACTTTAATGAGTTGAATAGTCTTGAGCAGACATTAACAGGCTGGTTACAGTTTCTCAGGGCTGTGGCCTTCATGTTCATTGGCCTACCCCAAACGCTTTTGCAAAATATTGGGGATGCCCATTACTAGTGAGATAAAATGTAAACTCTTTGGCATCTCCTCAGACCCTTCATAATCCGTCCTGGTTGTCTTCTTCAGATTCGCCCTCAATTCCAGTCTTCCTGACCCACAGGACTCTTACATGGAAGTCAAATGAACACCTGGCTATGATTCTACAAATGTTGGGATCTTTAGGTCACTTTATCTCCAGGATGAAATGAGGTTACTCGGTCTGGCAGCATTTTTCTTAGGGTGTGTTCTGTGATGTTCAGTACCCCACCAAGATCTCCTCCTACCCTCTGGATTCCTGTCCTCTACTGGCTTGCCATGTACTTAAACCACCACCAACAAAACCACCTTTACTGATATTATTCACATACCATAAAGTTCACCCTAGAGTGATTGTAATTCAGTGTGTTTTACTTATTCAAATTGTACAACTATCACCACTAATTCTAGAACATTTTCATCATCTCCCAAACAAAAATGTAACCCATCGCATCACTCTCCACTCTTCTTGGCAACCACTAATCTATATCCTATCTCTATGGATTTGTCTACTCTGGACATGTTATAAAACCATACAAAGTGTGGCCTGTTGTGACTGGCTGTGCATATACTCTTAATGAATCCTCAATCTAGAGGTAGAAATTTCCCTGCTAACTTGTGTCCCAGGCTTCTGTGTCCTTTACCTAGCAGTAGCCATTGACTCAAGAAAACTGACACTTCAGAACTATTAGGAGACCTATCTTCTCACTATATGCTGGTACCTATATCATAGGAATAAAACCAGACTCTGCAAAACCTCTGGCTTAACTACCCTGGCTTAGTGTGTCAACGACAACAACAACACTCCGTATTTAAAAGTATTTTTTTTATTTAACTTTAATTTCTGAGGTAAAATACTTTTTTCTTTCAACTTCCATAACAAAATACAGAGCTATCAGATACCCCTGGAAAAAAATATGTATATTATACATATATTTCTATAACATTACATCATATATATAATATATATGCAAAAATTTGAAGACTTTATAGAAAGCGGAACATCTAAAAGGCACTGCACAATGGAGTTAAGATTACTTACATTTTATGTACATATACACACTTTATTCTGCTTAAGCTAACTAGTGAAGTCATTTTTCACATGTGAATATCTCACAATTCCCTGCATCACAATTTTATAACTCAAATAATGCCTAAATATTTAAAAACAAATTAAATGGTAACTTTTTTTTTCCAACAAGTAACTAAAAATGGAACAGTTCTTAAAAGACTGGATCAAAGTTCTCTTTAACAGAATTAAAATTTCTTTACTGTTTATAAAACAAAAAGCACAAACATAATTAGGGAGATTTTTTAAAAAAGGGGGACAAATAGCCAACGCACTCTACCCACTTGGTGAGAAGTGAAATACAACTATATTTTTAATGCTTCTGAGTTTCTTGGCCCACGGAGGACTAGGGTGCAGCAATTCCCTGTGTTAGTGAGTTGGGTTTAATGCAGTGCAGCTTGAAAATGTGGGGGTGAAGGGATTGGTGAATTGTTTAAGATTGACCTCTACTATTCTCTCTTTTCAACAGTCAAAAAAAAGCAAACTGTCTGCACAAATTCTTGATTAATAAGACTTCAAGATTCGTATTTGTAAAGTTTTAAACATTTGGCACAGCAAAATCCAGAAAAACTGAGGGAGAAAATAGGTCTGGTTTCACCCCCCTTTTTTCTATCTGCTGTTGGACAGTGATAAGATGCTCACAGAAAAGTAAAGGCTGGCTTTGTGCCAGGCTGGTGACAGGTGCTGCCAGGAGCAGGCTGGGGGGAGAAAAAGTAACTCCCACCCCTTCACCCCAGGAATGACCCACCTCCACATTCCCTGGTCCACTTCCTGAGCAAGCCCAAGTTTGGCTCTATTATAAAGGACCCTCCCCTCCACCCCAACCCCAGTGTGCAGTGCAAATTGACCAACAATTTACTGGTGGAATGGCCATCAAAGGAAACAGTTAAACACCAAATAATTTCTTAAAGCCAAAAACATTTTCATGGACTTGAACATTTTTTGAGTGTTTTTTTTTTTCAAGTGTAAAAGCAGTGACTTTTTGTTCAAACAGAAGCAGCATCTAGGAATTCTGGCACTTGGGTTCTAGGGGGTCACAGGTATGCAACATGGATTTCTTTCCCTCTTATTTAAAGGCCTCATGTTTCTATTCCTGAGTTAATACCGATACCTGCTGGCTCTCCCCTCTAGTGGACAGGGAGGGTGGCCAGCCAGCCTCCCTGGTTAGATTGGGCAATGACAAGAAGACATACCTCCTCCACATGCCCGGGCTTGCTTTCCGATTAGAGGTAAGTTGAGGTGCAGAGAAAGTAACTGACAAAAACATAACCAATCAAAGATACCCTGAACAGGGAGCCCTATGCAGCCTGACCAAAGCCTGAGTCCGTAGGGACTGCTTTGTCAGTCCCTTTCCCAGGGAAAGACAGGTTACTCATGGAATTTGAATTAAACAAGGGGGAGGGCACTTACCCCCAAAATCTGCATGATGGGCTCGTCATCCCAAACCACCTAGTCACTCACTCACCTGCTCTAACCTTCCCTGAGCCCCTCACGCATGCTCTCCTTTAAAAAAGAACAACCACCTGCCAACATTGAAAGACAACCCTCCAGTGCTTCTTGGAAGAGCTCACGTAGGTTAAGCTGGAGTCAGGAATTTCTCCATTCCTCGACAGCATCCCTGTGCCCACTCCTTGCCCCTATCCGATATGGAGTTCCTTCTCTCCCTGCTGCCAGGTGTTTTGAGCCACAGTTAGCTGTTTCCACATACTAGTTACATGGGCACATGCATACAGAGCTGGCTGTGGCTTCTCTCTGCCTCTAGTCCAGGTTCCTTTCCCTTCCTAGAAAATCAGTACTTCCCCATTCCTTTGAAGTTGATGGAACAATTCCTCATTGTCTGTAAACTGGAGTCTCATATAGGATAGTCAATTGATCATGAGTATTAGAATGGGCTAGGGCAGTGGTCGGCAAACTGGCCCCTTGAGTGTGGCTCTTCCACAAAATACCACGTGCGGGCGCACACGTACAGCGCGATTGAAACTTCGTGGCCCATGCCACAGGGCCAAAGAGCCGCATGGGGCTTGCGAGCCTCGGTTTGCTGACCTCTGGGCTAGGGAAATGGTATGGCAAGAATGGTAATGCCACAACGGGACAAACACCAACTTTCATTCATATCAGGCCTTTTGACATCTGGTTGCTTTCTTTATCTAACTATTCCTTCAGGTTCAATAAACCTCCACTTGTACCCCCAGCTACCTTCTGCATTTCCAGGTATCATCTGTCTTTCATTCCTATAATCCTGCCTTTTTACTATCCATCCCAATAACATCTAGAGAGGATGACTAAATATTAGCTCAAACTTTAATCATGCTTTAAAATTCTTGGATTATCTGAAAAGTTGTTCATGTCCTTTTATAGGTTTATTTTGACAGACCCGTATCATGTTAAAGTATGTTCATTGTTAAGGCTTGACTGAAGAAAATGCTAACAGAGCCAGACAACAAAAACACATCTTTACCAGTGTCATGCCTTTCAGTGAACTCGCTACAGCCATATTCTGGTTTGGCTCCCCAGACCCATGATGGAAAAGGAAAAATAAAGGATATTTTTGCGTTTGTTTTTGTTTGTAAAGGCGTTGGGTTACTTCCTCCTGCCCTCTTCTTTCTTCCCTGAATAAGAGTTTACAACTCCTCATGGCTTCTTAATAGGTGAAGGTGAAAAGTCCAAGAAATTCACAGCAGGGCTTCCTGTCTCAACCATGTAGCCAGGCTCAGTGCCTGCTCCACTCTAACTGGCAGTATGTTTCATGTTTCCTGAAAATATTTTTTAGAGGAAAAGAAAAAAATGCCAAACAACAAAGGAAAAAAGAAAAAAAAGCAACATCTGAACACCCCAATCGCCCTACCCCAGTAAGATGAGAATATCTTATTCTCCCCCTGAAATAATTACAAAGAAACATCTCAGGCAAATACTGAGTATTAATGGTCTTTCGCCTCCCAACCATGCCCTTTCCCCTTTATATGTAACTCTCAGAGCAAAATAAACTCATTAATGGCTTTCCTATATATAAATACAGTAGAAAAGAAAGAAGTCTGGAACCTGAACATCATGGGACCAAACAGTGTCTTGGCCCTTTGGGAGTTTGTTCAGAAAGTATTAGCCTCAATAGGAAATAGAGGCCCTTTCTCCTTTCAGTTCAATACCCTTCCTGTGTCCTCACCAGGAAAAAAAGTGTGTTCATGTCTCACCTAATTTACAACAGAAGATGCCCAATCCCATTCCCAAAACATAAAAATACAAGTCTATGCTCCTAGAATGATCAAACCAGCTAATGCCCTCCCCCCCGCCCCGAAATCTTGCTACATAAATACATGTATATGATTATAGTATAAACAGCTCCCAATCCACTTGCAATTCTAAGCATCAGCAGCTGCCGTCGCCAAGCCCTGTGGTCCTGACCCATTCCAGAGGAACTTGCCATCCTTTCTCAGCTCTCGGGCTTCAGGGTCGTCATTCCAGCGCCGCTTCAATCGAAGCTTGGGGGGCATCAGGGCATCTTCTTTCTTCTCAGGCGCACTGGGCTCTTTGCTAGGCCTATCTTCACTGTCTTCAGTCACTTCTAGGGGTTCTTCACTTGGTGTGCTAATGGGTACAGAGGACCAGATAGGTGGTGCCTCTGGGCGGGCAAAGATGGTGCCTTTTTCCTCCTCTATGGTCCTGCTTGGCACTGTGCCCTCTTGAGAGTGCTCCTCCTTCTCTTGGGCTGATTGCCTGAGACTCTCAGGATCCTTTTCAGAGGTTGGCTCTACCTTAATTCTTGGGGGCACAGGCGCCATGGTGGGAGCAGTGACAGGTGCTGACTCCTCCCTGCTCTCTACCCTCTCCCGGTTCTTGCGCCCAACTGGTGGGGGCTGCAGCTTGATAGAAAACTGGGTTGACTCTTCAGGATGCATTTGGCACTGCAGTGGTGGAACCATGAGCCCTGGGTAACGGGGAAATGTCCGGGGACTCAGATGGTAGTTGAACACAGAACAGGCTTGAGAATGAAGGTAGTGTTTCATTTCCTCAGGGTTGAAGGAAAAGCAACTGCTGCTGGTGAAAGGGCTCAGGCCTGGTGATGGGCTATAGGAGAAGATAGTGGGAGTCAGGGAGAGGGCTGGTGAAATGGGAACATTAAGGACACCTCCTCGGCCAGGGATTGGAGAGACAGCAAAGGGACTATGGGGGTCAGGGTAGATCCCTGGCCTACTGAACAGAGGAAGCATGATGTCAGGCTTGCGTTTCTGATGGCCAATCCCTCCTCCACCAACAGCATTCCGGGAGGACATGAGATCCACACCCCGGCGCCAGTCAGCGGTTGAGCCATCCTCCAGCTCCGAAAGCTCCGCCTTTCTATCAGTGCCATTACTCAACTCCTGACCAGCAGTTAGGGAGCTAGCAGAGAACCGCCCCGGCTGCACGTCACTAGTTGGAGAATGAGTGTCCAGAGGTGGGAAATGGAACCGGGAAGAGGCTGTTGGAACTGGTGGTGCACTCTGGGGAACCACACCTGTGGAGGAAGAAAAAACAAAAGGCTACCTCAGGTCTGGTAATTCATGATCATCACTTTTACTTACGCTAAACAAGTACAAGATGTTTAGGAACAACAGGAAACACTCCAGCTGGACTGATTCCCTTAGCTCCCTGTCTCCCTAGTAACTACTGCTTAGCTTCCTCTTCTCAATTTAGTTGCCATCTTTCTGTAGCCTCTTACTCACGTTATCTTCACAGTACGCTTTGCTATCTGAAATATGATTTACCTGTTTATCTGTATTCTAAAACATAAATTCCACAAAGGCAGGGACTTCCAATTGTTCACAACTACATTTCCAGCAGTTTGGGGCTTAACAATGAGTAAGTGCTCAATAACTATTAGTTGAATGAATGAATGGGTACAAGAGCCTTCTCCTCTGCAACTCTAAATACTGTGTGTATATCACCTGTTTTAATTCTCAGCTTTGCAAATAGTCTTTTCTTATTTTCACAATTTTGGCCCTATCTATAAAGCAAGCAAACACACCAAACCCAAAAATAAATAAATAAATAAATAAAAAATAAATCCACAAACAAAATTAAAAATTACATTCATGTAAAGCAATGCATTAAAAGACCAAAGATGCCCTAGCTCAGTGGTCGGCAAACTGCGGCTCGCGAGCCACACGTGGCTCTTTGGCCCCTTGAGTGTGGCTCTTCCACAAAATACCGACTTCTGCGCATGGGCCACAAAGTTTCAATCGCACTGTACGTGCACGCCCACACGTGGTATTTTGTGGAAGAGCCACACTCAAGGGGCCAAAGAGCCGCATGTGGCTCGTGAGCCGCAGTTTGCCGACCACTGCCCTAGCTGGTTTGGCTCAGTTGATAGATCGTTGGCCCGCAGACTGAAGGGTTTAGGGTTCGATTCCAGTCAAGGGCATGTACCTTGGATGCAAGCTCAATCCCGGACCCTGGTCGGGGCACGTGCAGGAGGTAACCAATTAATGTGTCTCTCTCACATCCATGTTCCTTGCTCTCCACCTCTCCCCTTCCCTTCCACTCTCTCTAAAAATCAATGGAAAAATCTCCTTGGGTGAGGATTAACAACAACAACAAAAAAGACCAAAGACCCTGCACCTAACGTATATGGACACAAACAAGGCATATTTTAAGAATAAAAAACAGATTTTAAAACAAAAGGCATGTTTATTAAGTTCTTATGGTATGTTTTATCATTTCTGATATACAATAACCACTTTATAGAAATTTAAATGTTTCAATCTCTCCAAATCTATATTTCTCTAACAAACTTATATAATGATCTCCATCCCAAACCTGCTTTCAATACTTTTCAAGCATGGAGAAGGCTGGGTGAAATCCAGGACCTAATACTCACTCTACCAAGGCTACCTGCTAAAACGTGAAGCTCTAAGCTACCAACAGCATGCTAGACATGTCAACTTCAGACACTCATATAAGTTCTCAACTCCCCAAAAGGCCCTTCTGATAAAAAAAAGGGCATAAGGAAGGGTTGCAAGCCAAGGCCTCAGAGACCCTTTGGGTTCCTAGAAAAAATTATCGATATCTATCACTGCAGATGTCAGGAGGGCTCTTTTCATTCTGAGACAGAGATAAGGGAGACGGAAAAAAGGGCAAAGAAAAAGGTACGAAAAATCCAAATAAGTAAAAGTATGGTGATGTAGAAGAAACAAAAAAGCGCATAAGACAGTGTGGTTAGGCATCACTTCCAAACAGTTGCCTTCTGCTATTTGTATAATGGAGTCTTCCTCAGATATGACTCTGGAGTCTGCTGGTGTGTGCAAGACTAGCTTTCTAGGCACATGTGACTGAGTAATACTCTGCCAGAGCAGCATTTCCCAAACTGATGCTTCACAGAAAATACAGGACTGTTTTCCCTACAGCTACTGATTGAATCTTACAATTAGGTTTGAGTAGAGTCACAAGGGTCCCAGGCCAAAAGTTTCTCTTCTTCCAGTCTATAACAGTGGCTAAAATTCCATTCCTTTTGAGTCTTTTCTATCTTGATTTTTTTAATAAGAGCACATCAAATCAAAAGTAAAAAAATCCCCACTTCTGTGTGTGCTGAAGGACTGAATAGCATTAAGCATAATGTAGAAGGCCCTGTCTCCTAAATAATTTTATCTTAGAATAGCATCAGCTCATAGCAAAAGGCATATAAGTATTTTTCAAAATAAGTCATTTATTAGATAATAGTCATGGTTCAAAAGTAATAACTTTTAAAAGGCATATATCTTTTGAATATGGACCATATATTAGATAATAGTATTAGAGCAATGTTAATATTACTGTGGTTATGGAGGTGAATCTCCCAGTCCTTGTACCTGGGAGATCCATGCTGAAGTATGTGGGGGCGAAGTGTCATGATGTTCACAACTTAATCTCAAGACTTAAACATGTGGCTGTTCACTGTTTTACCAATTTTTCTGTAGGTTTAAAGTTTTCAAAAATAAAGGTATATATAAACAACTTGGGGTGGTGGTGGGAGGCACAGAGTGAGGGCTCAAGCCCATCCTTGAACTGGTATGTCCTGCCCCCACACTCTGACAGGCTATCTTTTTTAAAAAATTCTTTTGGGGTTATCACTTTTACTAGTATCTTCTGTATCTTTCTTTTGTTTATTATGCAAGTAAATATTTAAGATATATTTAATATTTTACAAGACACTTTTAATGGTAAAAAATGAGATACTATATGTAGAAGTATTTTCAATACTATTCAAATGTTAAGTACTCTCCCCTAAACTGTTAAGAGTAAGATTGTGGGGAAGGGAGAACATTCACATTACTTTTACTCTATGAACTTCTGTATTATTTGGATATGTTACAACCAGCACGTATTGCCTCATGCTTAAAAACACACAGATCAAAACAGGCCAACTATATCAACCCACCATCTAGACATGATCTCTCTGGCCTCCAAGATCTAAATCCATACAGCCCTACTTCTTAGAGTGCTTATCACATTCCACATTCTGAATTGTAGTAAACCTACTATATCTTATCTCTTCTGATAAACTGTAAGTTCCTCGAGGAAAGAGTGCCTCTCCCTAATTTTTATTTTTTGGTCTCTAGGGTTTAATACATTATGTGTTGACTAAATGAATGAATCTCAATCCAGAGGAAGAATGGTTGATTTAGTAAATAAGAACTGAATTTCAGTAGCTCTATTTCTCAGGTATTGTTTCCTAAGAAGCTGTTCAACAGCTAACTGTATTCAAACCACCCTGATCAATCTTTGACCGATTCATCCTTAATTTTATCATTTATAAAATGATACCGAGACATATACTTTACCCAACTACCAGAGTTGAATGAAATAATTCACTAAACACTAAGGTACCTTTGTTAAGTAGATGTATGTTCAATAAATGTTGTATTTCTTTTGTCATAAAAAGTTAAACTGAAACAACATTTGGTCTATCTGGGTAAAAGGTCTCTGTGAACAAATGACGTCCTTTGGAGCTATCTGTATCCAGGAGTAAGCAACCCCGCAGTGTGCCTAAAGGAAATACACACTGCTCTGCTTTTCCTGTGACTTCCCTGATTAGGATCTCGGAGCTTAGCTGAGGGTCAATGTTGGTTCCATTGCCTTCAGGCAGAATGAGTTGTGCCAGGCTACCACTGTTAGGTCTCTAGACCAGAGTCTTCACAAAGTGAGAGTCCAGATTTCCTTGCCTTGGAAAAGCATATTACTCCCAAGGGCTGATGGATGCCCCATTCCAGGTTGTCCAATGGCTAGACTTCTGAGTTTTCAACAGACAAGAATGGGTGCAAGACAGAAGAACAAGACCATTAAAGCCTTTTTGGGGGGAGTGGTATGGCAGTGAACATCAACACCTTCTTCAAAATTGCTGGTATGCCTACTTAGAGTCCCAATTACTCTAGATGTACAAGGAAGGAGCAAGAGTGAATAGAGGAAATGGAATTCCAGTGGCTAGAACAGGTTTGATTTCCTAACGCCTCTCCCTCAGGCACAAGGAAAGAAAACAGGTTGTAATTAGAGAGATACATTCCAATACCACTTTTTTTTTAAATGTATGCCCCAGGGACAGGAGGGAGTGGCTGTAAGATGGAAATGTAATGATAGCTGCATCAAGCTAAAACTGCTCTAACTTGTTGTGTGTAGTAATTAGGTATCTGCAATGGATCTCAGCATTATATTCTCTCAGCCACACCCCCGTTCTAATTTTTCAGGTTGTTTCCAACTTTTCTGTGAGAAGTCGCAATATTGCAGAATCACAATTAGATTTCTTTGCCTTAACATACAATGCCACAAAGACTGTACTGATGGCTGGTTAGAAACTGGTTAATACAATGTTTTATTGGGCAGGGTTACGATTTGCACCAACAAACAAACACACTCTTATAAGAGACTGCTTTCTGCTTTGAGAGGCAGACCCGAAACCTCTGTGAAGAGCTGTGGTGAAAAGCTGTCACCAGAGATCCTAGAGGGGAAACCTTGCTGCACTTGAGAGAAGGTCAACTAACCCCCAAGTCTTGTTCTGAGGTGCCGTTGGTACAGATCAAAGACACTGCTTTTCACTGTAAACATATGAACATCCCCTTCTGTGATCAAGGATGCTGTGGTTTTGATGATATTCACTTGATAAGGGAGAGTTTGGTAGTTTCATAGAAAATCGGAAGTGCTTGTAGGAACAGGTTCTTATCTATGAAAGAGCCCCTGGGTAGAATGTTGAGTCCTGAACTTAAAGATCAACACAAACCTACAGAACATCATTCCTAAAGAAGATAGAGTAATAGTATCTAGGAAATTACAAATATGCAAAAAAGGGAACCAAAACAACAAACCAAACCCATTTATCTTGATGCTGCAGAGCTTATCACTCTTAGTATGAGATGAATGGAAACACCTGAGCAAGAACAGAGGCAATTCAAGGAGTCACATTATTTTAGTGTTTCTGAAAACCTCTTAAAACATGCCAGTCTTAGTCTTGGGTTTTCAGGATTCCTTTTCAACCCAAAATTCTTTCCCCACTAAGAGACTTTGCATCTTACCACTTGACCGAATGTTGATGAACGGGTAGTTGGGCGTCACCAGCTTGTTAAAGTTAAATTTATAAGTAAACCTTTTCCCTTTTGTTTTATGAAGGATCCTCTTGTTGTAATAGTATCTGTAAAAACAGAAATGCATGTCAATCTATCTTCTACCTACTGACGGTTAGTACACTTAGGTAATCGCTAAGAGCAACAATTCTTGCTCTAAGTATTACTTGCAAACATCACTATCATTCTTTTGCTGATTTGCCCTAAGGTTAGGGTTGGGAGACCTAGGAGCTTACTTTTCATTCAATTTTCAACTGAGTTCTGATCATTGGCTAGAGCTTTACAAAAACAATCTCATTTTAAGATCCTAACACCTATCCTAGTCTCAACCACCTTTCTTTTCCATATCTCTCTAGTAGTTTCAACCCAATAGTACATTTCCTTCCTGTTCCACTATATGTCACTAAGCTAGTTTCTCTTTTCTGCCTTACCCGGCTTGGGGCAGACAAGTATCTTGGGACACCTGATGTGGCTAGTCTAGAGGCCATAGATGAAGGAATGTGGAACTGTTTTATGGTGGCAGGTCAAACAATGCTATACCCTGATCTGGAAAACAGCACCGAACTTGGTCTGCTTCACTTTTAAAGGTGATGTGAGAGGCTCCAGCAAAGCTGCCACCCACATTTTACATTCAGGGTCACTAAGAATGAAAAAACTTCATTCAGGGAGCTTCAATGTATCCGGAACCTTAGGCCTCGCATCTGTTCATTAGCACAGGTCATAAACTGCCTTCTGGCCCCTGGAGGGCTAAGGGTTATGAAATATAAAGACTGACAAGTGGAAAAGAGAAGCTAAGAAAACTTATAGATCAATCTTGGACATGTTGCAGCAACTAATAGACTGACAACTGAACTCACAGATATGGTTCCTAATACTGTAGCTAGGTCAGTACCATTCAGTGAATCCTCCTATGAATTTGCTTCACTCTTTTTCTAGGTTCTCCCAGAAAAACCTAAAGAAGAGAAATTCTAATAGATTTCCAATAGGGGAAGTCTAAACTAATCTTTTGAATTATAAATGAGCTAGAGTCCACATTTTACCACACACTCTCACCCACTACAGAACAGAATCAGTGTCTTTCAGAAGCCAGTGCCAACACTGGAATTCCTTCCTGCATATAACCAAAGACATGCCTTTTCTCCTTTTGTGCCTCTGCTACTCAGATTCAACAGCTCTTCTACTCCCATTTGAAAACTACACATTATTTACTTGGGTAATATAGTCTCTTGTCACCTGATACTCCTTTCACCTAATATTCATCACACTGCTTAGTCTCCTTTCAACCTACTGACACCATGGATTTGGGGATCCTTTCTGTTACCTGAGGGCCCGGCTCAGCTTGTCATAATTCATCTGTGGTTTGCACTTCCTGCGGCCCCAGAGGCGGGCCACCTCGTCTGGGTCCTTGATGACAAACTCCCCGTACTCTCCCTGCTGCCAGGCGATGACATGGCGGAACTCTTCCTTCTGCAGCAACTCCAGGATGAAGTGCCACAGCTGGATCTGCCGGGAGCCTGGGGAGGACTCTGTTTTATAGGCCCAATCAGGAAACTGATACCCTTTAATGTGAAAAGGGCAAGATCAAAGTTGTCAGGAGCTAGGTACATACATTCCAGTATCTCTGACTTCACATTCCAATGTTCAGAATCTCTAGAGTGCTGTGCAAATATGCTATAAACACCCTTTCGGTCAGCTGGGGTTAACCACAGCAGGGGAGAGGAAAGCACAGAGAGGTTATCTTTCCTTATGACAATCACCAAATCTGATAAGAGCATTGGAGCAGCACCCAGATGTCCTAATCTCTTACTCTTCCATACATTACCTAACCTCACGCCTACTTTCTATGAAGGCAGGAAAGTTCCAAAAGGAACAAATAGGAAAAATAAATGAATGTTTTAGGGAAATACAGCTGAAATCCCTTACCCCCAAGATGAGAACTGTCTCTCTAACAGAGAGATTCTAAAGCTTGGGATAAAAATGTTGTGACCAGACATGTTAGATATACAAACAGAGGAAACAAGCCTACAACTGTCCTAGCAGGATCCACCCAGTCAAGAGGCTGTCAGTCATGGCCTGGCATTTGTGAACAGAGCCCAAGTGGAGAGAAAAAGAACCATGGAGGGACATTCCAAGTAGACCAGAGATGATTCACTTCTGCTCACCTCCACCTCCTTCTGGCTTTTCCACGATGCTACAGCCCGCTTTCATTTTCACCCTCCTGCTGAGAGAATATAAAGCCACATCAATTACTTTTTATTATCTTCCTAAGATTTCTGGCACAGCCTTCCACCAAACTTCCTTTCTTTATCTTTTCCTCCTTATGTAATCCTCTTTCTTTCAAACACGTCCCCTCCAAACTGCTAATCTTCAAGTCATCAAATGATGGTCCTCAGGTCATCAGCTTCAAAGGCCGTGATTATCTCTCACCTGACTTTAAACTACCTAGGGGAAACACTACCTTTAACATTTGCTTCCTTCCTCCTCATCAAGCCCTTTGGAAAGTAAGGATACCAGTTAAATGGGTCCAAAGAGGCAGCCAAAATAAGTCAGTTTGTCTTCTATTACTGGACAGGTCCAGATGCCAAGATATACACGCCTGAGCTCACCCAGATGTACCAGTTTAAAGAAGAGTGAAGAAAAAAAATATCCAAATCCAACTGATTGCCACTCAAGAAAGAACATCTGACTTTGATTTATTTTACTGAATTATGTGAGACGGGAGAAGGAAAGCTCCCAGTCAGAAACTGCCCCCTCCTCCTTGAAAAACACTCCGGATACAAAGTAAACACACTGTGTGTACAGTTACTCTATATAAGAAACACACATTACCAAAATCTTTTTGAGAAAAAAATTACATTTTCTCCCTTTAATAAAAAGCGGGGGGGGGGGGGGGGGGCGCCGACAAGCATTTCTGAGAGCCTTTGTCCAAAAGGTGTGGGGAGTCCTAGTGTGATCTGAATTCACTCCATCCAGATTCCCAGCACCTCCATGCATTTCCTGTTCCTGGCAGCACGTAGCTTTGTATCAGTCAATCCTTTAGCAAAAAGAAGGGGAGGGTGAAACTGCCAGAGAGAGAGAGAGAGAGGTGTGGGCAGGAGGGGCAGCTCTACCCTCCCTGCTCCCCAGGGTGGATGACAGGCCCTCAGCACCCACCTCCGCGGGAGCCTGGAGGAAATGGAGGTGCCTCCATGGCCTCAGAGTGGAGTGGGGACCAATTCCCAGTCTTGGAAATTTCATCCAACCCAGGATTCCTCTAGATCCTTTGAATTCTCCCCCCCTCGCCATACACATTAAGAAAACCGGCAAGTTTCAGTCTGTCAGACGAGGGAAAGAGGATGACATAAGCACCCCAAAGGAAGAAAACACGGACACGCAGCTACAGACACAAGATACACAATCACAAGGCCTCGGAGCCCAGGCAGGCGCTTCCTCTCCAGCTGCTTCCATCTCCGTGACAATGAGGGAGGAAAAACACGAATTTCCCCGCGGCTGCAGGAAGCTGCCCTGGACTCCGACTCCTCCGGGGTGGCTCCGTCAGGTCGCAGGGCCTCTATCCGGCCACAGCAATGGCCTTCCACCTCCGAGACTCGGGCCCCAACCCCGATGCAACAATAACTGGACCGGGGAGCTCTGTCCTGACACCCCAGCTCCCGATCCGCCCCCCCCCCCGCGTCTCCCCCATAAAGGTTCCCCTCCCAGGAGCCCCGAGGCGCCTCTGCAGAGTTTCATACATTCACTCCGAGGACCCTGTCCAAGGAGGGCCACTCGTTCCAGCTCTGCGAACCCCACCGAGGCCCCTCGCGCCCTGCCTCGGACGCCGACCACC